TCCTTGTTTGAACATATTTGCCACAGGACTCCTCTCCCCTAAACTTATCTCAATTCTGTACTCACAATTAACTAACCTGTGGAACCCAAATAGCCATGCTTATGTCTCCAGATAGGAAAGGGACCTCAAAAGCACTAAAGATCATGCATGTTGGTCACAGATATGGTCAACCATGACCTCATGCTCCAGTAATGTCCTCACCATGGAATCGGTCTTTAAAACAGTGACAAGATGGTATCTTGTCCCATCCCGCCTATCTTTACTCCACTCATCTGCCTCCAATACTTGTTTTTGCGGCTGTAATGCACCGGGTAATGTCCTACACATATGGTGGACATGCCCTATGATCTCCCAATTTTGGATAAAACTCCTCAAATTACTAAAATCACTACTCACTTACCCTTTCCTGAGAGACCCATGTTACACTAACTTATGCCTAAAACCTATGGGTCTGTCTAAACCCAAATTTAAACAAGCCACCCATGTACTATTGGCGGCCAAACAAACCATTGCGAAAGCCTAGAAACAGCAATTTGTTTCCATCAAGGAAGATCATCGCCGCCTTGACTTCTTTCTAATAAATGAAAAATTGGATAGCATACTCTGACTCCCATTAGAGATTCCTTAAAATTTTAACTCCGTGGATTCAATATGCTCACCTGGAAATCTTAGCGATTAGCTTTACTTCACTATAACCCAATCATACCTCACTAACTGAATTCAAGCGTTGTGAACATCCACATCCTACTTACTTTCTTCTCTTCTCCCCAACCGCCCCCTTTTTTTAACTTCAGTTTTTCGGTTCTTCCGCAGGGACGTCTTCTGAACTACATGATGTTTTCACATCCCCTATTTTGCAATATTTTAGCATACTGTATTCTTCTTTGTTATAGATCACTTTAATGGTGTCGGCTGCGGAACTATCATCAAACAACTTTTCTATGCACTGATTACCTATTCGACACAAAATGTGTGTCCAACCTCTGTATTTGGATATATTATCCAAACCGTTACCTGCTTTAACTATATTTCATACATTTTAAACTGCTGTTGACTACTGTTTCTAGTTGAAATTCTGTTTTTGTCTTTGATAGCGGTCAAGTTTGTATCCTGTACTTAAAATACTAAAAAAAAAACAATAAAAATCTATTGAAAAGAAAATTACCTTCCCATTGTAATTGGTATATTTACAAGATTTTATAAAAGCACAGAAAATGTCAGTTTCACTTTCTTGTAACTATGGCAGCAGTTTGGAGGATATCAAAATGAACTCATTACCCATTAGACTTTTAAAACAGTTGAAGAACAGATTGCTGTTGAGATTCCTTGAACTGTTCTAGGCAGAAATGCCAGGCTGCTTGCTACAAGATGTGGTGGGTAAGGCGCTGGACCTCAAGGTAAGTATAATCTGGCAACCAATCCAGCTTTCGTAGGTGGATGTCTATCAACTGGAGTATTCGTAGCGCTCCCTGGAGCAGTATGTAGAATTGTAGAATGTGTGAAAGGAACCACAAGTCTCAGAAAAAAAGGATCAGAAGATGCCTCCAATGCGTTTCGGGAATTCAGAATTCCCCATTCATCAGCGCTTTATGCCTATAATGTGAGATGATTTGAGATAATACTGGACAGGTAAATGCAAAATATGAAGATTACAGAAATAGCAGTGCGAGCCGACAGTGATGATATTACGGTATTCTTCGTGTTCTGCATTTACCTGTTCAGTGTCATCCCTCAATTATCTCTCATTATCAAAGTAAAGCCCTGGTGAAAGGGAATTTCTGAACCCCCAAAACGTGTTAGATTTTTTGTCCACTTGGTTGTGACAAATAAACCTTTACTAGACTTGATCTAGACTTGTGCCAGTTTCATCATTTTTACATACAATACCCATCAAGCACAGCTGCTTGTACAATTAAATGGACAGTAAAAGTAGTAGGTGGGGGAGGCACACTAGCTCCCAATACAAGAAAGAAAAACGGGGCCTCATAAGCGCAACCAAAATCTGATTAATAAATGTTCAGGAAGGCAGACACTGTACCAGCCACCTTAATTTTCATAATCTAACATTTACTGGGCTGTTACAGCAGTTGTGCAGGGTGTCTACACTTGGCTTTGCAGTCTAATAGTCACTCCATAATCAGACTTAAGCTGGCCATAGAAGGGTAGTTTTTTTTTTTTTTGTTCATCCCAAAAAAACTGATTCTTCAATTCACACAAATGAGGTCGATAGAAGAATCCCTCCTCGCCAGGACATTAGGACATTGTATTCCGAGAGCTGGACCCGCTGCTGTCAGAACACACTGGTTAGTGGCTGCAGCTGTTGATTGACAGAAGTTTTCCAGCAGATCCCTTAACAGAAGTCGCTCAAATAATCAACTTCTGCCGAGCGGGGACGGCCACAAACAGATTGAAATCTGGCTGAACTGGTTGACCAGACACCATCTCTTCCTCAGCACTATAAGTCTATAGTATAAGGATAGATGTGATGAGCTGTGTGGCCATTACTCATGTCTGCCAGCATGGAGCATTGAAGTAAGACAGAGAACATAGGTCCACTATGGGAAAAATGTATCCTAAGGCATTTCCAAAAAAAAATTTAAGTTAAAAATCATAGCAAATGGTACAAGGTTAAGACAGTGTCAAAGTATGCCAGAATATGAAGCCCTTCTGCACAATGACCCTCAGAAAGGATTAGCAGAAGGGATAGGAGAGAGCTACCATCTCTTATCTTCTGGCCTTTCTTATCCTTTCCTTTTTGCCTTTTTCTATTTCTATTGTCTTCTCCATACTGTCATCTCCTAACTTCCAAAATACTTCATTCAGTGGTAAAAATGATTTCTAAGGCATCTTATACAGTCAGGTCCATAAATATTGGGACATCGACACAATTCTAACATTTGTGGCTCTATACACCACCACAATGGGTTTGAAATGAAACACACAAGATGTGCTTTAACTGCAGACTGTCAGCTTTAATTTGAGGGTATTTACATCCAAATCAGGTGAACGGTGTAGGAATTACAACAGTTTGCATATGTGCCTCCCACTTGTTAAGGGACCAAAAGTAATGGGACAGAATAATAATCATAAATCAAACTTTCACTTTATAATACTTGGTTGCAAATCCTTTGCAGTCAATGACAGCCTGAAGTCTGGAACGCATAGACATCAGCAGACGCTGGGTTTCATCCCTGGTGATGCTCTGCCAGGCCTCTACTGCAACTGTCATCAGTTCCTGCTTGTTCTTGGGGCATTTTCCCTTCAGTTTTGTCTTCAGAAAGTGAAATGCATGCTCAATCGGATTCAGGTCAGGTGATTGACTTGGCCATTGCATAACATTCCACTTCTTTTCCCTTAAAAACTCTTTGGTTGCTTTTGCAGTATGCTTTGGGTCATTGTCCATCTGCACTGTGAAGCGGCGTCCAATGAGTTGTGAAGCATTTGGCTGAATATGAGGAGATAATATTCCCGAAACACTTCAGAATTCATCCTGCTGCTTTTGTCAGCAGTCACATCATCAATAAATACAAGAGAAGCAGTTCCATTGGCAGCCATACATGCCCACGCCATGACACTACCACCACCATGCTTCACTGATGAGGTGGTATGCGACGGATCATGAGCAGTTCCTTTCCTTCTCCATACTCTTCTCTTCCCATCACTCTGGTACAAGTTGATCTCGGTCTCATCTGTCCATAGGACGTTGTTCCAGAACTGTGAAGGCTTTTTTAGATGTCGTTTGGCAAACTCTAATCTGGCCTTCCTGTTTTTGAGGCTCACCAATGGTTTACATCTTGTGGTGAACCCTCTGTATTCACTCTGGTGAAGTCTTCTCTTGATTGTTGACTTTGACACACATACACCTACCTCCTGGAGAGTGTTCTTGATCTGGCCAACTGTTGTGAAGGGTGTTTTCTTCACCAGGGAAAGAATTCTTCGGTCATCCACCACAGTTGTTTTCCGTGGTCTTCCGTGTCTTTTGGTGCTGCTGAGCTCACCGATGCGTTCCTTCTTTTTAAGAATGTTCCAAACAGTTGTTTTGGCCACGCCTAATGTTTTTGCTATCTCTCTGATGGGTTTGTTTTGTTTTTTTCAGCCTAATGATGGCTTGCTTCACTGACAGTGACAGTTCTTTAGTTCTCATATTGAGAGTTGACAGCAACAGATTCCAAATGCAAATAGCACACTTGAAATGAACTCTGGACCTTTTATCTGCTCATTGTAATTGGGATAATGAAGGAATAACACACACCTGGCCATGGAACAGCTGAGAAGCCAATTGTCCCATTACTTTTGGTCCCTTAACAAGTGGGAGGCACATATGCAAACAGTTGTAATTCCTACACCGTTCACCTGATTTGGATGTAAATACCCTCAGATTAAAGCTGACAGTCTGCAGTTAAAGCACATCTTGTTTGTTTCATTTCAAATCCATTGTGGTGGTGTATAGAGCCTAAAATGTTAGAATTGTGTCGATGTCCCAATATTTATGGACCTGACTGTAGATCTACTCCCCACCCCCCAACCGATAAGGGATCAGTGTTAGATTCCACCATACGGAAAAAACAAGATGTCATGTACTAGTAAATGCATAAAGGGGCAACAGGTTTGCTTTATTTTACCTACATATATGTATCCTTATCAAACTGTATTCATGACCTCTGTAACCTTACCCGCCGAATGACTGTTCATAATAAAGAATAAAAAAAAAAAAAGTTATCAACTCCCCCCACATGTACAGCTCGAGTTTAGGAGTGTCAGTGGGGCTATACAAGAAGGTGTGGAAGAGCAAGAACCCTCTTGTGTAGCCCCCCTGAATCCTAAACCCGGGCTGTACATGGAAGGTTGACCTCTGTACGGGTATAGACCAATCCCTGTCTATTTATGGTGCTAAACACAACCCCATTCATTCAGATGTCAAATGCCAGAGCCTACCGCCCTGCGTCATTCCAAACTTTGCCAGATTAACTTCACTTCCCCGTCACCCCGCTGTACCTTACCATTCCAAAAATTGCAGATGGAGTAAGTCTGGCCATACAGTGTGTAGCAGAATCTGTACAAATTGGCTTTCACATAGGTAGGGAACAGATACCGAAGATAATCTGTGTCTGCAAAACAAAACAGAATGTATTAATCCGTTTGCGTAAGTCTGCTGTCGGCAAACAACACAGCGAAATCTAGGCAAAACCTTATTTTTATTTTTTTAAGCATACCTCTAGCTAAAACATTCCTTTTCTGTTTTTGATAGGGTAAAGTCTGGTACACACAGGTAGTTTTATTTGTTCAACCCAGAGGGACTCGCTGTACCAACTATGCAATGTTAGTACAGCGATCTCCTCGCTGAGCTATTGTGTTCTGACAGAGGGAATGCCGCCTCCCCCCACCAGAATACATTGGTCAGCCCTCGCAGCCATTGGCTGCAAGAGCTAAATCAGATGCAAATCAGCTGCTGATTTTCCAGCATGCCCGTTTAACAGTACTCAGACTTTATTTCGGCTTCTATCAGACAGACTGCTGTACACACTGGCTGAATGTCAGCTGGTTTCTGTTGAACTGGCTGATATTAAGGCTGTGTGTACCATCTTTAAAGCGGAGCTCCACCCAAAAAGGGGAAGTTCCACTTTAAGTCTTTGTCCCCATGTTCCCCATTAAGGATTTGCACCTTCGGGGAGTAGGGGGAGCGGGTACCTGAATTTGACAGGTACCCGCTCCCACTTCCGCTGCGATCACCTAGGCGATTGGAAGCTGAATTTGTCCTCCCTCCCCGTAGTCTTCTGGGACACTTGACAGGTCCCAGAAGACTACGGGGCTATTCACAAAGCGCAGCGCTTCTCGCGTATGCAAAGTGGGCACCTGGCTGTGAAGCCGTAAGCTGTCACAGTCGGGTGCCTACGCTGAAGATGTTGGTGCCAGGGAGAGAAGACGGCCGGTGAAACCAGCGGCGGTGAGGACACAGCAGGACCGAGGGACAGGTGAGTGGCTGTATTTTGTACAGTTTTTGTAGCTGCTGACTTTTTTTTTTCCTCAGGTGGAACTCCGCTTTAAGGAAGCGTTTGAACCTTTGTCAAATTTTTATTTCTGCCTGTGCACCCTTGGCTGGAGTTCCACTATGAACTTTCTTGGTGGCCAATCTGGTTACTTTGGCAATTGTTTGGCAAAAGTCCAGATTTACCTAGCAAGCCAAACAGAAAACCACTGGAGGGTGGTATAAATATAATACAACAAACAGAAGGTCTGTAAAAATGTAATAGCCAAATAAAAAAGACTTTTAGAGGAAGAAAAAAAAAAAGAGAAGATCTGAAAACAACCATCCATGACCGCTATTATCTAAATGCTGCACAAGTAAAAAAGAAACTATTGCTTCCTTTTGGTGTTCCTCTTACTGACAAAAAATGATTATGCAGACATGTGTTCCATGTGTGGCTGGGGACCATTCACTGAACATTCCTAGCAATATAACAGGATATTTATGCAGAAAACTAGGACTTGAAGTGTCATCATTCTAAGACACTGTCAGACTTATTCCATAAATCAAACTGCCAACAGAATTCATCCTCCACTGATCCGCCTCCAGTTAGGTGAAATCTAGCATCTTATCCGTGCCCTTAGCACTGTCATATTTAATGGGGTCACAGTTGTCGTGTGGCACTGCTCACCGAGTGTCAGTGCATCATTGCTCTGGGACCCGAAGTGTAAGTGCATCTGTACTCTAAGACCTTCTGTGTCAGTGTGTCATTACTATGAGACCTTAAGTATTAGTACATCATTACTCAGAGATGCTAAGTGTCAGTGCATCATTATCCTGGGACCCCAAATATCAGTGAATCACTCATTTAACCACTTCCCGACCAGCCGTTTCATATAAACGGCCGGACGGTGGCAGTGCAGGGTCGGGTGGCCGTTTATGAACGGCCTCCCCGCACCCTGCTTGTGCGCGCTCCCTGGGAGCGCGCAGCACCACGATCCGGTGCCCGCTGTGTCCTCCGGACACAGTGAAACACCGATCGTCGGACGGGACCTCTGTACGAGGTCCCGATCATGTGATCACTGATTGGCCAATCAGTGATCACATGCAAAGTAGTAAGCAAGATGTCACTTGTGACATCATTGCTTACTACGTGTGAAATCTGTGAATGATCACAGAGGTCACATGGTACAAGGCTATTCACAACAGCCTTGTACCATGTGACAAGCTCTGACCAATCTCAGCTCACTCTGTATTTCTCAATGAGTGCAGGAATGCACACAGAGAGAAAGAGAAAATGATTGCTTTTACATCCTATATGGGTGTAAAAGCAATCATTGTAAAAAAAAAAAAAAAAAAAAATCTTCATCACCCTCCACAAGTAGTACAGTGTCACCATGGTGACACTGTACTGCTAGGGTGACAGTATGTAAAAAAAAAAATAAATAAAAAATAATAATATAAAAAAATAAAATAAAAATGTAAAAAAAAATGTTTAAAAATTATAATTTTTTTTGGTTATAAACTAATTTCTTTTTGTTTTTTTTTTACTAAAAAGATAATGAAATACATTTTGGCAAAGATTTATGATGAAATATTATTTATTTGCAAAATTTTCTAAAAAAAAACTTTTGTTCAAAATTTTTGGACTTTTTCATTTACATAGCAAAAAAAATAAAAATCCCAGCAGTGAATAAATACCACCAAAATAAAGCTTTATCTGTCGCAAAAAAATGGTAAAAAATTAATTTGGGTACAGTGTTGCATGACCGCGCAATTGTCATTCAAAGTGTGATAGCGCTGAAAGCTGAAAATTGCCCTGGTCAGGAAGGGGGTAAAAGTGTCCGGACTGGAAGTGGTTAAGACCCCAAGGGGTTTATTACTAATGCTTGAGAGTGCAAAATCAGGCTCACTTCTGCATAGAAACCAATCAGCTTCTAACCTCAGCTTGTTTAATCAAGCTTTGGCAATAAAACCTAGAAGCCGATTGGTTTATTTATTTATTTTATTTATTTCAGGTACTTATATAGCGCCATCAATTTACGCAGCACTTTACATATATATTGTACATTCACATCAGTCCCTAACCCTCAAGGGGCGTACAATCTAAGGTCCCTAACTCACATTCATATACAAGGGCCAATTTTTTAGACAGGATCCAATTAACCTACCAGCATGTCTTTTGGAGTGTAGGAGGAAACCGGAGTACCCGGAGGAAACCCACGCAGGCACAGGGAGAACATGCAAACTCCAGGCAGGTGGTGCCGTGGCTGAGATTCGAACCAACGACCCTAGTACTGCCAGGCGAAAGTGCTAACCATTTAGCCACTGTGCTGCCCGGTTTCTATGCAGAGGTGAGACTGATTTTGCCCTCTGCTGCTTTAGTAAATAAACCCCCAAGTGTCAGTGCATCATTGCTCTACGACCTTGTGTATCATTAGTATGGGACCCCAAGTGTCAGTGCATCATTAATTAGAGACTCCAAATGTCAGTGTGTCATTACTTTGAGACCCCAAATGTCATCACTTTGGGGCCCCAATTGTCAGTGTGTCGTTCATTATGAGACCCCAAAGTAGGAATTTACTAAAACTGAAAAATACAGAATTTGGAGCAGATGTCTTAGAAGCCAATCAGTTTCTAGCTTTAGCTTGTTGTGTTACGTTTTGAAAATTAGGGCTTGTTCACACCATATGATGATAAAACCAAGCAGATTTCACTTGCAGACACTAGTTTACATCAATTTTTATGCGTCTTTCTTATGCACAGACTGACATCACATCCAGTGTCCTCACCCCCTCTCATCATTGCCCCCTCATTAGTGATCCCCTCATCATAGACTCCCTCATCAGTGGACCCCTCACATCAGAAACTCCTCATCACAGCCCACACATCAGTTTCCCCCTCATCAGAGAATCCTCATCGGGTATCCCTGCCATAAGTGTCCCCCTCGTTTGTCCCCTGCTATCAGTCTCCCACTCATGTTTCCTGCCATCAGTGTCCCCCTCATCTGTCCCCCATCCTCAGTGTCCCCCACCAGTGTCCTTTCATTTCGAAATCGCTGCACAAGTAAAAAAAAAACAATTACTTCCTTTTGGTGTTCCTCTTTTATTCACAGACAATGCAGACATGTGTTCCATGTGTGGCTGGGGACCATTCACTGAACATTCCTAGCAATATAACAAGATATTTATATAGAAAACTAGGACTTGAAGTATGGGTATGTCATCATTCTGAGCCACTGTCAGATCCTTCACTGATCTGCCTCCAGTTAGGTGAAATCTAACATCTTATCACTGCCCTTAGCACAATCATATTAATTGAGGTCACCGTTGTCATGTGCCACTGCTTGCCAAGTGTCAGTGAATCATTGCTCTGAGACCCTCAATGTCAGTGTGTCATTACTTCAAGGCACCAAAAGGTAAATTTACTAAAACAGGTGCACTCAGAATCTGGTGCAGCTCTGCATGGTAGCTAAACAGCTTCTAAAGCCAGCTTGTTCAATTAAGCTTTGGCAATATAACCTGGAAGCTGACTTCCATGTAGAGTTGCTCCAGATTTTGCACTTTCCGGTTTTAGTAAATAAACCCCATGTGTCAGTGTATCGCTACGCTAAGACTCCAAGTGCTGCATTATTACTGGGAAACCCCAAGTGATGGTGCATCATTAATTTGAGACCCAAGGTGTCAGTGCATCATTACTCTGGGACCCTAAGTGTAAGTGCATCTGTACTCTAAGACCTTCTTTGTCAGTGTGTCATTACTATGAGACCTTAAGTATTAGTACATCATTACTCAGAGATGCTAAGTGTCAGTGCATCATTATCCTGGGACCCCAAATATCAGTGCATCACTCATTTAAGACCCCAAGGGGTTTATTACTAATGCTTGAGAGTGCAAAATCAGGCTCACTTCTGAACAGAAACCAATCAGCTTCTAACCTCAGCTTGTTTAATTAAGCTTTGGCAATAAAACCTAGAAGTTTAATGGTTTCTATGCAGAGGTGAGCCTGATTTTGCACTCTGCGGCTTTAGTAAATAAACCCCCAAGTATCAGTGCATCATTTCTCTATGACCTTGTGTGTCATTAGTATGGGACCCCAAGTGTCAGTACATCATTAATTTGAGACCCCAAAGCGTCAGTGTGTCATTACTTTGAGATCCCATGTATCAGTACATCATTATTCTTGGACCCCAAGTATCAGTGTAACATTAATCTGAGACCCCAAGCGTCAGTGTGTTATTACTCAGAGACCCTAGGTTTTGATGCATCATTACTCTGGGACCTCGAGTGTCAGTGTGCCATTACTCTGAGATCCCAAGTGTCAGTACATCATTGCTCTACAACCATGTGTGTAATTATTCTGGGACCAAGAGTGTCAGTGCATCATTTGTTTGGAACCCCAAGTGTCATTACACGGAGACCCCCGAATGTCAGTGCATCATTATTATGAGAACGCAAGTGTCAGTGTGCCATTACTCTGGGATCCCAAGTGTCAGTACAACATTGCTCTACAATTATGTGTGTAATTATTCTGGGACAAGGAGTGCCAGTGTAATGACACTTGGGGTTCCAAATAATTGATGCACTGAGACCCCTGATTGTCAGTGCATCATTGCTCTACGACCATGTGTGTAATTATTCTGGGACCAAGAGTGTCAGTGCATCATTTGTTTGGAACCTCAAGTGTGTCATTACACTGAGACCCCCGAGTGTCAGTGCATCATTATTATGAGAGTGCAAGTGTCAGTGTGCCATTACTCTGAGATTCCAAGTGTCAGTACATCATTGCTCTATGACCATGTGTGTAATTATTCTGGGACCAAGAGTGTCAGTGTAATGACACTTGGGATTCCAAATAATTGATGCACTGAGACCCTCTAGTGTCAGTGCATCATTATTATGAGAACCCAAATGTCAGTGTGCCATTACTCTGGGATCCCATGTGTCAGTACATCATTACACTACGACCATGTGTGTAATTATTCTGGGACCAAGAGTGTCAGTGCATCAATTATTTGGAACCCCAAGTGTCATTACACTGAGACCCCCAAGTGTCAGTGCATCATTATTATGAGAACCCAAGTGTTAGTGTGCCATTGTCCCCAAGTGTTATTACATCATTACTTGGAAACCTTAAATTTTACTGCATCGTGACCCGAAATGTCAGAGCATCATGACTCTGAGTCAGTATGATTAATCTGAGATCCCAGGTATTAATGTGTCATTCTAGTAATAAAGAAATGTGTAGTGAGCGCTCTTGAGTATATATAGCAGCTGGAACACTTCAGGCAACCACAGTACCTTTAGAATATAAGTATAACAATGTAACAAGACACAGTGCAGCGCTCAAAAATTAATAAATAAATGAATGAAAACCAAATATATATATATATATATATATATGAAAGTCTGTGCAAAATCCGTGGTATCGTCTGGTAAGGTGAATACACATCCGGAGTATATACTGCCTCGAAATAATAGCAATGCGCACTCACCAGAAACGCATGGATTATGCGCATGTAGGGTAAATCATCCCAGATATCAGATCCAACGAAGACCGAGTGGTGGGCGTCCTACTCACGGTGGGTCATCAGATACACCAAGACTGATCCAGAGGTCCCCTTAAGGTTACTCAGATAATCCACACTGATGGTTTTGATCCCTCTTCTGGCTGGTAAAGGCACCCTTTCTGTGGGAGTAACAGCTCCACAAAGGAGCCCCAAAAAACAGGTGCCAGAGATAGTGTAGTATGCTCTTTAAATGATTTTATTGGTCAAACATCGCAATAGGGCAGTATGCATATCACAACATAAATGTAGAGTTGAAAGACAGCATTTACTGACCCCAATAAAGATGGCCGCCGGGCCTCCTCGTGGCTCCAGCGGTAGGAAGTGACGTCACGCTCTGCACAGCTCCTCCTTAAGGGGACCTCTGGATCAGTCTTGGTGTATCTGATGACCCACCGTGAGTAGGACGCCCACCACTCGGTCTTCGTTGGATCTGATATCTGGGATGATTTACCCTACATGCGCATAATCCATGCGTTTCTGGTGAGTGCGCATTGCTATTATTTCGAGGCAGTATATACTCCGGATGTGTATTCACCTTACCAGACGATACCACGGATTTTGCACAGACTTTCATATATATATATATATATATATTTGGTTTTCATTCATTTATTTATTAATTTTTGAGCGCTGCACTGTGTCTTGTTACATTGTTATATTAATGTGTCATTACTCTGAGACCCAGTGCTGAATCTAAACCCTGTGTAATACCACAGGTTAACAAGCTTCTCTCCTCTCTCATGTGACAGCGTTCAGTCCTAGAAATAGAGCAGTAAATCCTGGAAGGAAGTGGAGAAGGTCAGTCTGCCTCACATCATAGGTATTTCAGCAGGTAGTACAATTCACACATACATAAATTTCAACTGTAGAGCCATTTGTGTGGCTTAAAAAAGTTCAGCTTTTATAATACAAGAGAGATGAGATGCGGAGAGGTCATTTTCTCATAAAACTAGTTTCAGGTACTGAAAGAGTAATAATCCTATTTATTCTGGCAGCTTCCTTATTTAGCCTGTCATGTCATGTCATGTCATGTACATATACTACTTGACTTTCCTGTTTGCAGACATTAGAGAACGACATTTTTAAAGCATTTCCCCAGTATGTTAATAAGGTGCAGACTCAGGACCAAACCTCTCTCTGTAAATATACTTCACCATGAGTGCAAACTTAATAAGAGTCCTACAAACTGGGGAGTGTGCCAGTTACAGTAATGACGCACTCTGTGACACCTCCAAGAGAACGGTGGCGTGACAGCGATCCAACCACCTTCAGAAAAATCTACTTCTAGATCATGATTTATCACAGTAGAAGCCAAAGGATGGTCATAGCAGTCAAGCAGCAGGGGCAGACTGACAACTCATGGGGCCCCCGGGTAATAGGGGATCATGGGGCCCCTGTGTCCTTGCCCAAACTCAAAAAAGCCTATGAAAAAGGTACCAGGGGCATCTCATGGGGCCCCCTACTGACCCCCGGCCCTCGGGCAGTGCCCGAGTTTCCAAATGGTCAGTCCGCCCCTGTCAAGCAGTCAGCATTTTCAGAATTTTTTCTTTAATCTAAATATCTCATATAGTATCTGATATTAACGGATTCAGAATTCTATTACAGCAGACAGGTAAAGAAAGTAAATATAAAACAGACACATATCTATAGGTTTCTACCATTGGCCAGAAGAAAAATATTCCTTGTGTACACTGCACAGCTAGGCAGGTGATACATTTCTGTGTCACTTACCTGCCCAATCAACAAGAAAACAAGGTGGCAATGCCAATTCACTGTCTGGTGAGCAACCTGGAAGCAAAGGAACCAGCAAATCTTGTACAGTATTCAGGGTTTCTAGCGGAGCTGCCTATTCTGGAGTCTGATTATACAGTATATTTAACCCCTTCAAGCCTAAGGGTAAAACAAATCTAAATGCCTAAGCACAATTTTGCAACACTGACGTGTTAGTAAAACCGTACATATCATCACAACTATGTAGTACATCCAGGTGAATTATACCACGTTTTTTTCAGGACAAATTCGGCTTTCATTTGGTGGTAAATGGTAATGGATATATCATTTTTTTTTATCAATGCAAAACTGGCCCAAAATAGCAAAAAAAAAAATCTATTTTTTTATTTAGCTGTGTGTTTCTTGTTACTACCATAACCTACCACCAAAAAACAACACAAAATAAATTCTCCAGCTCTGACGGTGTTATTTGTACCCGTGGTACAGCCCAGAAACGTTAGTGCACATTTTGTTTTTGTCTTTTTTTTTACCTAAAATACACTGACATTGACACCAATTTTTTTTTTTTTTTAAACCTTGACCTTGGCCCAAACACTAACCCTGGCACTGAACTAGATCAAACATTGATCTAGGTATTTTTTCTTTATTTTTTAATAGATATTTATCTTTTTTTTTTTTTTTTTTTTTTTTTACAAACATTTTTTTTCTCCCTCTATGCCAGGAGTTAGAGAGATACAATGTATCTCTCTCCTCCATTTATAGAGAGAGAAAAAAAACAAGGGGGCCGGGCTGTACAGTGACTGATCACTGTGATAGCCAATCAGAGGCTATCACAGCGATCTTGTGACCCGGATCGGGAGTCCCGATCATTAGAATGGCACCCGGTGCTCTCAGTGACACCACGGTCGTTGTGCTGGGAGGGAGGAATAAGAAAAGTATTCTTTTACTCTACAGACCCCCTAGACCAGGGGTAGGCAACCTGCGGCTCTCTAGCTGTTGTGGAACTACATTTCCCATGAGGCATTGCAACATTACAAAACTGAGTTACAGCTATGACTTGCAGAGGCATGATGGAACTTGTAGTCCTGCAACAGCTGGAGAGCCGCAGGTTGCCTACCCCTTCCCTAGACTAAACAGGCTTATTAATATTGCTATCCTATAAAGAAGGAGGGGTTGCACACATGACAATTTTTCACTTCTAACTAGGTTCAGCTTACCAAAAAATGAAATTACATTACATTACATTACATTGAGTTTATATAGCGCCAAAGGGTTTGCTCAGCGCTGTACAATAGAGGGGGGGACAATACATGAAACATTACAGCAACTACAAACAGCACACGAGGGGTTATAGGGCCCTACTCTTTCGAGCTTACAATCTAGGAAATGAAATGGTGCTGCCATTCTACCTTGCTAGCACTACAAACCAGGATTACTAATCTTTTGGCAGGTAAGACAGTTCACACAAATCAATTTCAACTGTGCATTTAGCAGTTTGCCTAGAGTTCTACTTTATACCAAATGAAAAAAAAAAACTATCTGCTTTTTTTCCAAAAGTCTCACCTCCGTACTGTCCCATCTGAGGTGAAGACAAGGAAATGAATGTGTCCACATTGTGATCTGGAATGGTCTCCAAGAGACCCGGCAGATTAATCCTCCTGTATAAAGAAGAATACAATAAAGTTTAAGAATTGTAAATGAAACTCACATTTTTCTGAAAGAAAAAAAACAAGAATATCCATTATAGGTCAGATAGGTACTGTATATTATCTAATCATATGGCAAATCCTTATGTTTTTCCTTTTCTCCTGGTGATCCTGCCAGTAATAGGCTTCCTGTCCTAAGCTGTTCACTTACTGTACTGTATCTAGGGAGGGGTAGCATTATCACCCTAGAACAGGAAGTGATTCAGAATTAGAAAACACAACTTCATAACTTACAGTGTCATTAAACCTACGTCATTAAAAATGATCAATAAATGCAGTATTACATGCAATTAATACTCACTATATCACTATAGGATTAGTTTTCGACATTCTGCAAAAACCCTGGTTGATTGTGCTGTTCTCCGTCTCTCCCTTCTGTTCATGTCCCCACTACAGTTGGGGAATTTGCAAAGCAGTGTTGGCAGCTACTGCACATGCTCAGTTTACAGTTTATTTCTACCATGAACATTTCCTTCCCAATGCATCTGAGCAACCCATGTGACTATAGAGTCACACATGTGGGCATATACACAGTGGTAAATCACAGCCCACTCCCGCCCTCCTCTTCCACACCAACTAACCAGCACACACAATGAGGGGGGTGGATATTATATTTTGACTGATGGAGGCTACACCTCCCTGTTATTCTAAGACATAGGCTGGAGGGGCATGACACAGCCTGTGATTGGCAGAAATCTGCCCACACCATGTTATTGACAAAAAATAATAAAGATTTGATTTCAAATATATATTTGTATAACAACTGTAAACAGTTTATTTATTTTTACTATGTATCCCAAAGGTTGCTTTTTTTTTTTTTTTTTTTTAATTCTGAACATGTGATCAGTAGCAGAGGACTAGAAGCTCTTCCTGCCACGGTTTCCCTGTAGACAGGCTGGGAAAGAGCTGGGTCATGTAACAGCTGTATGTCAATTAAGGAAAAAGATACTGGAATGTTTGTTTGTGTTTTTTTAATAATTACAGTACCATCTTCCACATACAGAAAGAAAAGGGATAATGTAAAATAAATAGTGTGTGCTTAGTATCACTTAAGGAGGTGTTTTGTAGTCTCCAGAGATAGCTGGGAACAATGTTGGTGATAAGAATGCAGCACAACATCAGCTTAGTAGATTTCAGGCAGGATCAAGAGGTATTTTTTTGAACGTATTGAACAGATATAACAAAACACTTTCAATTGTATATTTAACCTCCTTAGCGGTTTTCCCCGAGTGTAGCTCGGGGTAAAATTTCAATACCAAGAGCGGTAACCCCGAGCTACACTCGAGCTTACCATGCGGCGTTGTTCAGGGGGTCCCTGCAGCACTTACCTTGTCCTTCGCTCCCGCGATGTGTCCCCTGCAGCGTCCCCAGCCATCTCCTCCGGCCGATGCCGGCATCCGGCTTCCATGTTCCGGTCCCTGTGACGTCGGGATGTACGGGCGCCGGAACCGGTGGGAAATTTTAAATTTTTTAAAAATGTCATTTTTGCTGTCATTGCTGTTTCAATGCATTTCAAATACATTTTGTCCCTACTGCTTTGTCCTGTGCCCTGCCTGCATTTTGACTGTTCTTTCTGCCTGGAAACTTAGAAAAGTCCATGGCGTCCAAAAAGCGTCCCTTTACGTCAAAAGCGGTTTTAGAACAGCGATAGTAAATCAGAACCACTTGCAGAATTGAGTGATAATGATTCGTGGGGGAAATTCGTCATCAGACACTGAAAACGAATTTGCGACTTTGCTCAGTGATGTGCGAATTTGCCTCTGTATTTCAAATTTCAGTGTTTTTGGTTTGATTATATTATTGAATTAAATTTATTATTATATTATTTTTTATATTTATTTATTAAATTATAATTTCTGATTACGTGTTTCAAGTTTTATCATACCCAGACTCTTGTTTGTACAGATTTCAGTGAGTTATTCCTAAAAATTACAGCCTACAATAAAAAACTACATATTTTCATGCAAAAAATGGTACCGCTTTCGGCACAAAAAAATCGGAAAGAATCATACCGCCGAGGAGGTTAACAGACTAAAAGGGAGGAAATAAGAGAAGTTCATTGTCACAGTTGCTGATTGTGCCTGGATATGTTAAACAAGCTGATGTTTTTTTAACCACTTCCCGCCTGTAGGACATCATATTACATCCTCGGCTTGCAGTGGTTATACCAGGATGAAACCTGCACCTGCAGGCCTCATCCTGGTATCAACATTTTCTGCTGGTAATTCCCTCTTCAGCAGAAGTGATCTGAGTGGCTGAACAGCCACTTGATCCCTTCTGTGGGAGGCAGAAATGGGTCCCCCCCCCTCCTGGCGGCTTTCCCAGGCTCTCCCGTCCGATTGTGACCTGAGATCGGCGGTGACAGTGGCACCACACAGACAAAGGAACTGACGTTGTTCCTCCCTCTCTGTGACCCCGGAAACCAGAAGTGACAAGGATTTTGTTGTTTTGGCTCTTTGTTTACCTGGTCGTTATCAGCCAGGTAAGCAGCTAATCAAATTGATCTATGTCAGATCGGCTGCACTGGAGGCCAGATGAGAGATTTTGGGGTCTAATAGACCCCAGATCTCTTCATAGAGAGCACCTGTCACGGCCCATGCTTTCAGCAATAGTTTATCAAAAAAAATTAAAGAGACAGTGTAAAAAAAAAAAAAAAGATTTTAAATCAAATAATAAAAATAATTTAAAAAACATTTACAGCACCCCCTCCTCCGTGCTTACACACAAACACGAACATAGATACTTAGTTAGTCTGGCTGAAAAAAGACAAAAGTCCATCTAGTTCAACTATGAAAAAAAAAAAATTAATCCTATACCCACAGTTGATCCAGAGGAAGGCAGAAAACCTCAGCAAAGCATGATCCAATTTGCTCCTGCAGGGGAAAAAATTCCTTTCAGATCCCTCGAGAGGCAATCGGATATTCCCTGGATCAACTTTACCTATAAAATGTTAGTATCCAGTTATATTCTGTGTATCTAGGAAATAATCCAGGCCTTTTTTAAAGCAATCCACTGAGCTGGCCAGAACCAACTCATGAGGGAGTCTATTCCACATTTTCACAGCTCTTACTGTAAAGAACCTTTCCATATTTGGAGATTAAATCTCTTTTCCTCCAGATGTAAAGAGTGCCCCCTTGTCCTCTGTGATGACCTCAGGGTGAATAACTCTACACTGAGTTCACTATATGAACCACTGATGTTTTATACATGGAGATCATATCCCCCCTTATGTATTATACATGGAGATCATATCCCCCCTTACGTATTATACATGGAGATCATATCCCCCCTTATGTATTATACATGGAGATCATATCCCCCCTTATGTATTATACATGGAGATCATATCCCCCCTTCTGTATTATACATGGAGATCATATCCCCCTTATGTATTATACATGGAGATCATATCCCCCCTTATGTATTATACATGGAGATCATATCCCCCCCCTTATGTATTATACATGGAGATCATATCCCCCTTATGTATTATACATGGAGATCATATCCCCCTTATGTATTATACATGGAGATCATATTCCCCCCTTATGTATTATACATGGAGATCATATCCCCCCCTTATGTATTATACATGGTGATCATATCCCCCCCTCATGTATTATACATGGAGATCATATCCCCCCTTATGTATTATACATGGAGATCATATCCCCCCTTATGTATTATACATGGAGATCATATCCCCCCCTTATGTATTATACATGGAGATCATATCCCCCCTTATGTATTATACATGGAGATCATATCCCCCCTTATGCATTATACATGGAGATCATATCCCCCCTTATGCATTATACATGGAGATCATATCCCCCCTTATGTATTATACATGGAGATCATATCCCCCCTTATGTATTATACATGGAGATCATATCCCCCCTTATGTATTATACATGGAGATCATATCCCCCCTTATGCATTATACATGGAGATCATATCCCCCCTTATGTATTATACATGGAGATCATATCCCCCCCCTTATGTATTATACATGGAGGTCATATCCCCCCTTATGTATTATACATGGAGATCATATCCCCCTTATGTATTATACATGGAGATCATATCCCCCCTTATGTATTATACATGGAGATCATATCCCCCCTTATGTATTATACATGGAGATCATATCCCCCCTTACGTATTATACATGGTGATCATATCCCCCCCTTATGTATTATACATGGAGATCATATCCCCCCTTACGTATTATACATGGTGATCATATCCCCCCTTACGTATTATACATGGTGATCATATCCCCCCTTACGTATTATACATGGTGATCATATCCCCCTTATGTATTATACATGGAGATCATATCCCCCCTTATGTATTATACATGGTGATCATATCCCCCTTATGTATTATACATGGAGATCATATCCCCCCTTATGTATTATACATGGAGATCATATCCCCCCTTAATCTCCTCTTCTCAAGAAAGGATAAATTCAGTTCCTCATACGTATACATGAGTCCCACACTTATGTAAATGATGACTGCAGCAAACTTGTGATATCGTCATAAACATCAGAGAAAGAGCAATAATTTTAGCTCCAGACCTCCTGTGTAACCCTAAACTGGTACCCTGTAAAAGCTTTTACAACGTTGCCTGTGGAGATTTTTAGGTACCGTAGTTTGGCGCTGATCCATGGGTGTACGCAATTTTAAAGTGTGACATGTTAGGTATCTATTTAGTCAGTGTAACATCATCTTTTATATTTGAACAAAAAATTCATTATATAGTGTTTGTGTTGAATAAAATTCATAAAAGTGTATTTAAAATACAAAACAAAAAAAAAACACTGCGCAAATACACACACCATTTTATTTTCTAGGCCTTTGCCAAAAAAGAAAAAAAAAAAGTATAATGATGTTTGGGGGTTCTAAGCAATTGTCTAGCGAAAAAAATATGGATTTCTTTACATGTAGCAGAGAAATGTCAGTATTGGCTAGGTAGAGAACTGGTTAAAAGCACAACTGTCCTTCAAAGTAGCCTTCACTGCTCAGCCCGCACATCCTGGTAAAATATTATTTGGCAGAGATTATGTAGTCAGGCTAATGCTGACCCAGCATTATAATTCAAAACGTATGAATAAATGATAGTGTTTTCATGAAAGGACTTGTATGACATCTATATAATAAGAAAGCAAAGATGGTAATGAGTCACTGTGTGTGTACATGTCTACACGTGCTTAAACCAATCTATGTGCTGTGTCATGTGACTCATACCCAGGAATGGAAAGGATGCCGCGGGATTGGATGTCACAGATATCGCTGCCAGGACGGGAAAGCGAGCTGGAATGTGACATCCACACAAGAAACAGGCTGCGTCATTCATATACAAGAGCACAGGCACTGGGGCGGGTTAGGAGGATCCATGTGAGCAGATGAGACAGAGGCTACAGTATGCCTGGGGTCAGTCTGTCACAGTGACACACAGTCATTAGCAGCGCATCATGCGGAATTAATATGCAGTGCTTGCAATCATTCATCAAATAACAACATGGAGCCCGAGATATGCACTGCTGTCCCTTCTGGGAGCAGAGTGTGTGAGAGCGTTAAAGGGAACCTGTCACCATCTGATGAGCACACACCCCTTCTAAAATCAGCCGAATACAGCAAGAAGTATCGCATCTGCTTTGTGATTCAATATGTATGTATGTATGTATGTATATATATATATTATATATAAATTATATATATATATATATATATATATATATATATATATATATATATATATATATATGCACACACACACATATATATATAAATTCCTTCTTGATCCCCCTAGAGGCAATCGGATATTCCCTGGATCAACTTTACCTATAAATGTTAGTATCCAGTTATATTCTGTGTATCTAGGAAAGAATCCAGGACTTTTTTGAAGCAATCCACTGAGCTGGCCAGAACAAACTCTTGAGGGAGTCTATTCCACATTTTCACAGCTCTCACTGTGAAGAAACCTTTCCATGTTTGGAGATTACATTTATTTTCCTCCAGACGTAAAGAGTGCCCCCCTTGTCCTCTGTGATGACCTCAGGGTGAATAGCTCTACACCGAGTTCACTATATGAACCACTGATGTATTTATACATGGAGATCATATCCCCCCTTATGTATTATACATGGAGATCATATCCCCCCTTATGTATTATACATGGAGATCATATCCCCCCTTATGTATTATACATGGAGATCATATCCCCCCCTTATGTATTATACATGGAGATCATATCCCCCTTATGTATTATACATGGTGATCATATCCCCCCTTATGTATTATACATGGTGATCATATCCCCCCTTATGTATTATACATGGAGATCATATCCCCCCTTATGTATTATACATGGAGATCATATCCCCCCGTTATGTATTATACATGGAGATCATATCCCCCCTTATGTATTATACATGGTGATCATATCCCCCCTTATGTATTATACATGGAGATCATATCCCCCCCCTTATGTATTATACATGGAGATCATATCCCCCCTTATGTATTATACATGGAGATCATATCCCCCCGCTTATGTATTTATACATGGAGATCATATCCCCCCTTATGTATTATACATGAAGATCATATCCCCCCCTTATGTATTATACATGGAGATCATATCCCCCCCTTATGTATTATACATGGAGATCATATCCCCCCTTATGTATTATACATGTGATCATATCCCCCTTATGTATTATACATGGAGATCATATCCCCCCTTATGTATTATACATGGAGATCATATCCCCCTTATGTATTTATACACGGAGATCATATCCCCCTTATGTATTTATACACGGAGATCATATCCCCCTTATGTATTATACATGGAGAGCATATCCCCCTTATGTATTATATATATATGGAGATCATATCCCCCCCTTATGTATTATACATGGAGATCATATCCCCCTTATGTATTATACACGGAGATCATATCCCCCTTATGTATTTATACACGGAGATCATATCCCCCCTTATGTATTATACATGGAGATCATATCCCCCTTATGTATTATACATGGAGATCATATCCCCCTTATGTATTACACATGGTGATCATATCCCCCCTTATGTATTATATATGGAGATCATATCCCCCCCTTATGTATTATACATGGTGATCATATCCCCCCTTATGTATTATACATGGTGATCATATCCCCCCTCAATCTCCTCTTCTCAAGAGAGAATAAATTCAGTTCCTCTAATCTTTCCTCATAGCTGAGCTCCTCCATGCCTCTTATCAGTTTGGTTGTCCTTCTCTGTACTTTCTCCAGTTCCCTAATGTTGTTTTTGTGAACTGGTGCCCAAAAATGGGCAACATGCTCAGTTGCTATTTTTTGTCATTGCCGAAAATGTAGAAGCCAATCTGCTGACAGCCTAAACATTTACTGCTGCTCAGGGGCTCTGACTTTAGCAAGATGGCCACCTCCAGCAAGAAGAAACAGGAGCAATGCTGGAGGCAATTTATAGCACGCACTCATTTTGGTAGCAGAATTAATAATGTGAAATGTATTTTCCTTGCTAAGGAACATTATTTTTTATCAAGTTGTTATGGGTAGAGTTCCACTTTAAGAAGCGGTGTGCTCATCTGATGGTGACAGGTTCCCGTTAACACTGTCACACACTCTGCTCCCAGAAGGGACAGCAGCATGACTGCTGGGGGTGTTAGTAATAGTAATAGGCACTGGTTTGTAATTAACAAAATAGGTTACATGGATTAGGATTGGCCCACAGCATTATTAATGACCTGAGATGTTCATCAAGCTTCTTCTTCTATGATCAGATCAACTTCATATGAACATGCTGAGCAAGGATCCTTTGCTGCAAATGGATACCAGCTATTTCTGGCCTGTGGTCAGTCTGAAAGTCACTTACCTTGAGAATAGCAGAGCAGGTGCACCCCTTCACTGCCAGCATTCTGCATGATAGGATAGATGGCCTCCCTGAAGCCCATCACCTGCTTCCAGAGTGGCTGTAAACTCGCTTTGTGATCAAACAGGTCTATAACCGAAATATTAGTACCTGGGTGAGACTGCAGGAACACAAAGACAACAATGATATCACTACCACAGAGAAATATAGGAGTGCAGGTCATTTATAATGTTTACTAAAACAGATATGACACCATCTGACATCCTCCCCAATTTCCCACCACTGGAGAACTACATCTTCGTCTAGTTTATTGGAATGGGCCTAGATCCATAAAGTGATTCTAAACCTAGGACAGAAATTATATGAACAAAGCATACCCCCTATAGTGTGTACTTGTTTCAATCCAGAGCAGTAGATGTCATTTCTGCTTACTGCCTCATTCTTCTGCTGTCAGCATGAATCACTTACATGTTTTCCTGACACCAAGAAAAAAAATGGTGATGGGGAGGGACCTCCAACAGATTGACAGCCTCAGCGCTGTTCCTGTGAGCTGTGTGGAGGGGGGGCGTGTCTCTCCTTTCCAATCACCTCTCAGAGCTCTCCTCACTGAGCTCTGCAGAGTGTAATGGAATTGGTTGATGGAATGTACCATGTCAGTATGTAGGGGTGCAGTAAAGGAGGTTTAGAATGCACCAGGTCTCAGTGATGTCAGATAGGACTAGGCGCAGAGGATGGATGTCTCCCTCTGGTGGTAGAGGAGGAAATACACAGCACACACACTGACCTGCTGTCTCTCTACTGACCTGCTATCTCTCTCTCTGATCTCCAGCACACAAGCAATGGAAATCTTCATCCCATCCTCTCCACACACACTCTGAACCCGAGTCTCTGCCTCCTGTCCCCACCTCATAGGCACTGCCCTATAGGCATGAATGGGGGTTGGACTCCAGAAACATGGCAGCTCTTCCCAGCCAGGAATCCTAGCCTTCCCTAGGCTGGAGCAGACAGCCCTCTGTAAGGCGTCACCTCGGTGCGTTCCGCACCTCCACAGCGACGCCACTGATCTAACCCCACCATCTGCTTTAGGGACTGTAGTCCTCAGAAGAAAACGGAGAAGATGCTCAAAATTTTACAGTTAAAGTGTCCCCTTCTTTCAGTGTCTCTTAAACATCTTCTTAGGCTTGGGATTAAGCTGCACATGCTCAGTTTGGTGTGTATTGCTAGAGTTTTTTTTTTTCTTGAGAGAGTGCATGTGATCAGCACAGGGCCAAACAGTGCTGTCCAGACAAAGGTCAGGAGTTCTGAATCCTCCTAGAGCAGAAAGAAAACTCCTCTACAAGCTTTAACCAGTGCTCTGCTAGACACTGATAGAAGTGCCAAGACTGCTCTAACTGCTGATGGGTATTTAGCAGTTTATATTTAATAAAATAAATGTATTTACACGTTCTGTGTACTGTGGGAGACCAGATCGAGTGAATGCAGGATCCTGGGTTTAAAAACACTTTAATCTCTCTATTATGCCTTTTTTATTGGTGCAATTGATAGCCCCTGCGTGGGTGTGTTTTGTTGCCTCTGTTTTATACGGTTTAAAATTAATAAAAACCATTGAAATACAAAAACACTTTAATCAGTAGAGGAGACAACTACCCATGGGGACAACTATCTAAGGTGGAATTCCACCTCATTTTGTAAAGATTTGTACTTCCCGTTGTGCATTGTGAGACAGGAAGTGCACGTATTTCCCTGAAGGGGACACAGAATGCAATAAAAACCTGCCAAAAAGTTCAATTATTTTTACTCTATCCAAAAAAAAAAAACAATTTTGGCTGGCCTTACATCTAAACCATAAAATGCATACTATCACTGCAGTAAATACTGTATTGTTATCAGTAATCACTCCAAAAATCTCTGGTGATAAAATTGTAAGGATGTGTTTGCAATCAGCTCTCAGCGCCAAGAAAAATCTGCATCTATTTAATGCTTCTTGTCTGCATAAATGCCAAAAACTATTTTCCAGTTCAATGTTTTTAATGAATTTTGTAAGTTATACACAGCAAACAATCCGCATTGTGTGTACAGAAAAAGAACAAGCGAACAAGCAGTGAGCAACATTATTATCGATGTCTGTTCAATAAACACAATAGGACAAAGACGAAGGATGTGATGTTGTTTCTGGAGCGCACTCCGGACCAATGATAGAGAACAATTCAGAACACAGGATCTCAGTACTACGTAACACATCACATACATGAACAGATTAGAGCCAGGAAAGAACTGTGTGAGGGGAAGACAACAGGGGTAAGAAGGGGAGGAGAGAAGTCAGGAAAGAAGGAGAAAAGTCTGTAGTAGAGGAGAAAGAAGAGGAGGGTAGGGAAAAGGAACCTGGCACGGGGGTCCTCTTACAACAAGGAGGTAAAAAAAGAAGGGCGAAGGGGCCAAATGTCACAAAAGGAGGTGAGGGTGGCGATAGGTGCCAATAAGTACTTTCACAACCCGTGCCCACATATCACCCACCTCATTGATGTATTTCACCAGTTCCTTGAAGCTCGCAGAACTGTCAAAAAGTCCATGGACCATGATAACTGGTTTATATCCCAATGTAGGATCTACCAGCCACAGCAGAACCGGCACAAAGAAGAGGAGCGTCGGCAGTGCCAAGGGGCACCCAGCGGCCATGTTTGATGTCACCTATAGACAAACAAGAGAGATGGTGTGACTGAGCAGGTGTCATCCAACTCCGATACAGTGTCACTGAAGAAGCTATAAAAGTAGAAGTGACACAATCATCATGAATGCAAACCAACCAGGTGATCCAGATACCTAAACACTTGACGTGCGACCTTCCTGTCCCTCCCAATCTAAAATGATCTCTCCATTCCTCTATCTAATACCTATGTCCTCACTCACCTTCCTTATTGTGTCATGACCTCCGATCGGAATTCTCTGATCCACGCCAGTACACAGTTCCTGAGCAGTGTGCTCTCTCTTCCCCTTTCCATTCCCTTGCTCCACCACTTCCAGTTACTTCTCTGTAGCCTCCGGCAAACGCAGATCTAATTTTATCAGATCAGTTAACTCCACAGAAGCCACAGAGGGAGGTCACAGCCTGTCTGGAGTTCTAACACTGACTGGTTCATTAAAAACTGGAAAGCAAAAACATATTTGTGGTGCCTACTGCAAGCGACTGAATTCCGGCTGTCATTTCAGCTGGGGCAGGTTGGAAAATTAGGACTCTATTCTTTTCCTCATGCTCATTTGCTGACACTTAAACCAACTACATGCCTTGTGATCCATCAACCAATCATATGACTTCAATAAAAGGTGCTGTTCAGCTTCATCCTCTAGAGCAGGGGTCTTCAAACTGTGGCCCAGGGGCCGGATGCAGCCCTTTGCTTTATTTTATCTGGTCCTTGGGGCAATATTTCATCCTCAGACACCAACAATGGGGCATAATTCCCCCCACTGAAACCAATGAAGGGGCAGAGGTCCTCCCAATGACATTAACAGTTCCTTCCAATGACATCAATGATGGGGCACAATTTCTCCCAGTTATACCAATGATGGGGCACAATTTCTCCCAATGACATCAATGATGGCACACAATTTCTCTCCAATGACATCAATGATGGGGCACAATTTTACTCCCAGTTATACCAATGATGGGGCACAATTTCTCCCAATGACATCAATGATGGGGCACAATTACTCCCAGTTATACCAATGATGGGGCACAATTTCTCCCAATTATATCAATGATGGGGCACAATTTCTCCCAGTTATACCAATGATGGCGCACAATTTCTCCCAATGACATCAATGATGGCGCACAATTTCTCCCAATGACATCAATGATACCAATGACGGGGCACACAATTTTCTCCAATTGATACCAATGGGGCACAATTTCTCCCAATGATACCAATGACGGGGCACAATTTCTCCCAATGATACCAATGACGGGGCACAATTTCTCCCAATGATACCAATGACGGGGCACAATTTCTCCCAATGATACCAATGACGGGGCACAATTTCTCCCAATGATACCAATGACGGGGCACAATTTCTCCCAATGATACCAATGACGGGGCACAATTTCTCCCAATTATACCAATGACGGGGCACAATTTCTCCCAATGATACCAATGACGGGGCACAATTTCTCCCAATGATACCAATGACGGGGCACAATTTCAATTTTTCTCCCAATTATACCAATGATGGGGCACAATTTCTCCCAATTATACCAATGATGGGGCACAATTTCTCCCAATGATATCAATGATGGGGGCACAATTTCTCCCAATTATACCAATGATGGGGCACAATTTCTTCCAATTATACCAATGATGGGGCACAATTTCTCCCAATTATGCCAATGATGGGGCATGATTCTTCCCACCCAACGACACCAACGAGGGGGCTCAATTCCTCTCAGAGACATCAAAGATGGGGCATTGTTTCCTCCCACTGATGTCAGGGCATTTTCTACTTCCAATGGCCACAGTCCGGCCCCTCTAAAGTCTGAAGGACAGTAAACTGGCCCTTTGTCTGGGAAGTTTGGAGACCCCTGCTCTACAGCACAAGACCATCAACTCTTTTTGTTTTCAATTTTGGATAGAGTGGGGGGAAATTAGAACCCCTATTAGGTTTTTTCTTAATTCTGCAGTCACAGTAAGGAGGTTATTTACTAAAATTGGAGGGTGCAAAATCTGGTGCAGCTCTGCATAGAGACCAATCAGCTTCCAGGTTTTATTGCCAAAGCTTAACTGAACAAGCTGAAGTTAGAAGCTGATTGGCTACGATGCACAGCTGCACCAGATTACGAGTGCTCCAGTTTTAGTAAATCTCCCCCTATGCGTCCATTTGGGGGGCTTTCCCCTCACTGCTTATCTTGTGATCTAAGCAGAAGATACATGAAAATTGTTTTTATAAAAGCCAAATTCCAGGCACAATGAATTAGCCCTGTTAAAGGATAAGTTCATGTTACATGTTCCACCCTAAAAACAAGTGGAACATGTAACATGTTCCTAATGCAGTTGCCGCCCAATCATCCCGTACAAGCTGTCACTTTTTGAATAGAGCACTGTCATGGGGGGCTCTGCCTACACGGCTGCGTCATAGTGTTCTGTGAATGAATGAAATACAAGTCCATGGCGTGGAGCGCCGTGGTAGTTCATGCATTCTCCCTGTCAGTATATCAGATTGCCTGTTCATCCTGTGCAGGCAAGCAAATATACTGACAGGTCTGCAGGAGACCTGCATGGCACCAATAATCTGCTGATCGCTGATGCAATGCTTTACAAGCTCCTGCAACCAAAAATAATAAATGCACATTTTTATACCTGCAAAAAAATGTGGATTTATTATTTTTGGTAAAAAGGTGAACTTATCTTTAAAGCATTAATGCATCCTCTTTTTTTCTACATTAGGCAAATCTTCTGATTTACATGCTGGGGAAGTACAATTTCTGCTGTCCTTTCACCCCACTGAGATGTAAGAGTTGCAGGTCTGAAAGACCCCAGTGCTACAGTAATGACCCCACTTTCCATCTGGTCCCTCACAAAATGAAGCCTGGGGCTGTGTACTTTGTGAATGGCCAGGAGAAGAAAGAGGTGAAGTCATGACTGTAGCGCTGGGGTCTATAGGACCGGCAGCACTTACCTGCAAATGACCAGGAAGGACAGCGGGACTGTGCTGATCCCGGGATGTAATCAAGCAGGTTTGCCAAATGTAAAACAAAGCCAGCATGAGAAGGTGAATAAATTCTCTAGACCAGGGGTGTCCAAACTTTTTTCAAAGAGGGCCAGATTGGATGAAGTGAACATGGTGGAGGGGCCGAACATTTTTCCGAACATTCTTTGAACCATTACAATTAAATGCAAATAAATTATTATTTTATGCCAAGTTAATTGCAAACGACATACTTTTCATTTCATAACATTAAGATCAACTGACAGCTGAGTTTTCACAATGTATTGAAAATAAATTTAAAAAAAACTTACCAGCACTAATGTGAAGGGTGAAAAAGGTAGCTGGAGCTGAAGTCTCTGCTCGGCAGCCGGGAGGGGAAGAGAAACACACTTCACGCTGGAAGCCGGGCCCTGACGTCACCGCCCTCTGTCGCTCCCAGCGCGGCGCAGTCACGCATGCGCACTGCTCTCAAGCAGAAGACTGTCTGCCACAGAAGGGAGGGCCGTGCGACAGCCGCATTTACACAGACCAGGGAGAACGCGCCGCAGTCAGGCATGTGCACTGCCCTCTGCTCTCAAGCAGAAGACTGTCTGCTATAGAAAGGAGGGCCGTGGGAGGGCCACATTACACAGAGCAGGGAGGGCTGTTGGAGGGCCGTATTAAACCAACCCCCGGGCCGTAAATGGCCCGTGGGCCGGACTTTGGACATGCCTGCTCTAGACCCTTGGTGCTCTACTTGCGGCCCTTTGTTATAGAACATGTGCGTCGGTCCCACATGCATGCAAACAGCAATCGACCCACACAATAAGGTACCACCGCAAACGTCAGATCATGGGCACCAGACCTCCTCTGTAAATCTAAAGTGGTAACCTGTAAAGACTTTTAAAACATCGCCTATAAAATAGTAAAATGTATGTTGTTTGTCGCCGTTCCACGGGCATGTGCAATTTTAAAGCCTGACATGTTTGGCATCTATTTACTCGGTGTAACATCATCTTTTAGATTTTACAAAATATTTGGGTTATGTATTGTATTTTTTTGTATTCAAATTCAAAAAAGTGTATTTTTTTCCCCAAACCGCTGCGCAAATACAGTGTGACATAAGAAACTGTAAGACCCACCAATTTATTATCTAGGGCCTCTGCTTTAAAAAAATATATATAATGTTTTGGGGTTGTAAGTAATTTTCTAGCAAAAATACTGACTGTTACACGTGAACAAAAAGTGCCAGAAATGTCCTGGACTGGAGGTGGTTAATTAGAAGTATGTACATTGAGCTTTATTGAAAATGGTGCTGGAAATAGAAGAGCAGTGGGGAGGCAATGTATAAGAAGGTGAGTTGAGATAAAACAAAGGAGCCCATAACAGGTCGGGCGAGTGGTGACAGATATGTCCATCCTTCCATGTTCCCTGGACAGGCCACAATGGGTTTCAAGCACAGGGAAAACATTGGGAGAGGGGGAGGGGAATTCACACTGCTCCGCTGAAAACAATGCATAAAAAAAACCTATATGCATTTTGGATGCGTTTTCTGGGTGCCTATTACACAGCATGGCCTGTGAAACTTGGACATGGGACTCAAAAAACATACCAAAAATGCAAAGCAGACGGAGCTGTGCTTTTGGCATGGTTTTAAAAATCACATCAAAGATGCTGCAGCGCAGTGGTGTGAAGATTCCAATAGGATTTAAAGCGAAACATTTTTCCTGCGTCTTTTTAACAAGGTAGAAACGCAGTAAAAATGCGTCAGTGTGAAAGAGACGCAAGTAATGATGACACTTTTGGCACCAGTATGGCACCTTTAACATGGCCTAATTCATAAAAGCTGTGTATCAGTTTCGGAACCAGTACCAGCACATCCGCAAGAGTCAGGTAGTTCTTTCTGCTGCTACTTATGATATCTGTCGCACGTATGTGAAAGAGTCTAATGCCCCGTACACACTATAAGAATATTGCACGAAAATTGTCGTATGAGGACCGATCGTCTGATGATC